ATTATTATATCATGGTCTTACCAGAATCAATGTAAATACAAAAGTTCAAGGCCCAGACCTTAAGAGAATGGCTTGTGACTACAACTATTACGTCTAGATATTGATCCTTATTTTGTGGGTTTTTCACCCAGCATTTTATAACTCCATTACATTTTTGTTCACAAGCCTTTTTCAAAAAACACATGGGGTGTTTCTCAATCGCGAGTAAAGCTGCTTCAGAGCCACTATTTCAAGCATACTACGTCATCGAGTGCCGCCGAAGTACTGTTCCAATCTCCAGCATACTTGGAAATCTACTGAGCCCGGCGTACTCCGTTTGGAGAAATATCGAGGCTGCACATGAGTAGACTCCACGGTCTTAAAATCCCCACAATGCTTTGCGCACGGACCAATTTCCCCAAATCTGTGGCGGAAGATGTAAGGCGGGGCCTCTCATATGACGCACACCTGCACACTTGCTAGCGTGTTCCACACTTCGTTTTCCGAATGCCAGGAAGTATTCTTGACTCGCTTCTGAAGCAAGATGCTCGGCAGACATGTGCTACCAAGCAAGCGTACTCGCGATTGAGAAACACCCATGTTTAGATGGATTTAGGAACGCCCCATCGATTCTATTGGCTCTAAAGGCCCCTACACACCAGGCCGATATCGGCCGTCTTGCGTTGTTGGGCGAAAACGGGTTCCTTGTCGCCCAAAGTCAATTTGGTGTGTCCCGAACCCTCGGCCGTGACACGCCTTATTTGGCCTTTCACGATCGACACCCGGCCGATTCAACATGTTGAATCGGCCGGGTGTCGGACACAAGCTATCGGGCCAAGAAACCACTCTGATCAGCTGTTCAGCTAGCAAATGAGAAGCGAAACGGAAGTGAGGGACGTAAACAAACGATTTAAGGCACAGGACAGCAGATAAACCCCAGCAGGTGATACTTAAAGACATCAAACATAGCCCTTAAATGTCCTCTCTTACCTCCCACACATAGCAGGGACATCTCTGATATCGGCGGGAGCGTCCCCGGCTGTCCTCTGCTGAGAGCTCCGTGATTTGTTTGGTCAAGTCCGGTTTTTCATCTCATCGTAAATTTAGCAAGAAGTGGCCATTATTACATTGCTGACTCAATAAACTACACACCCGCCAGAACACTGCGATCATCAGATGCAGGTCTATTAACTGTGATTTTATAGTATGTCTGCACTTTACAGTATGTACTCATTTCATCATGCATGTATTTTTATATTCTAAAACATGTTTTCGATGGACGAGAGTGAAAATGGAACGGCACCCGCTATTTGTTTGTATATCAGTCTGTTCTTCTTCTCTGTCTTCCGGTTGTTGCCTATTTTGAATGACGAATACACACTACCGCCGCCTGCTGGTAAGGAGAGTTATTGCCACTCACGCATGCGCAGTTCGTACGTGCTCGGCTGTAGTAAAGCGGTGTATTTCAGTGCGACACACGGCCAATACGCAGGAGAACTCGTCGATGGATCTGTCGGTGTCGGATGTCGGCGAGTTCTCTGGTGACTGCCTGGTATGTCAGGGCCTTAACGGTTCAAAAGTGGTGTCAATCATCAAAATCGACCGATGGGTTCCAGAGATATGGCAAATCCACCCAAATGACCCCAGAAGTGGGGTTTTTTCCCTAGACCTCTCTGAAAAAGTCATAATTCACTTGTTTTGCATCAATCTTGATACAGAGTACTTATTATATGTTATTGTTTGGATTCTTAAAGCTTTTAGTCTACTATCCCATCATTCAAGGGTGGTTTTCACTATAAGTAATGGGGTTTTTTTTGGGACGGAAACTATAATTTACATTTTTTTTCTATGTTCAATCTGAATTTACTTTAAAATAAAAACATCTATATAGATTCTGAATTTTCTACATCCAACTCACAGGTTTATTGTCACGAACGAGCTGAGAACCAAAATGCAACACACGGGAGACCAGGGAAAGTCGGTAACCAGCTTTATTATAAAATGTTTCCAATGAAAAGTTCTGGTGTAAGACAAACCAGCAGACAGTAGGCAAAGGGCTAGTCGGGGACAGGCGAGGGTTTGAGGAGTAGGCAAGACGGGAGACGCAGGTACCGCAGGGAGCAGGCGAGGCAGAATAGTTCGGGTACAGGCGGGGTCAGGAAACAGGCGAAGCAGGCTGGTCAGGGACAGGCAAGGTCGAAACCGGGAGAGCAATCTGGGAGGTAATGCTGGAAAGAACTGCATGCTGCGAAATACGATCTGGCACTGAGGTGAGAGTGAAGGGGGCCTATACTGGTGGAGCTGATGGGTGTAACAGAGTGTGAGAGAGAAACAGGGTGTGACTACCAGGTGACTAAGGTGGCTGAAAGATGCTAATGCAGAAAATAGGTGAGTGAGGGAGCAGACTGTGACATTTAGCATTGCTTTGAGAAAAGAGATTATTAATGTATCCCTTTTAGAAGTGAAGATATAGTCATTTGTTCTGGGAATGTCACTTTCCAGCCTGAGACCTGAAAAACAGGGTTAGGGTTAAAACCTGTTAAGCCCCAAGCCTGTTTTTCAGGTCTCAGGCTGCATTGAGGGTATAAAACTCACTCAGATTCACTCTCCAGAACGTCCTGACATAAGCTTAAAGGTAAGATCATAACATGATATCTAATGCAATATGCAGCACATTTGTATTTTACAGAAGAGTATGCAAGTTAATAGCAGCACAATAGAATTTGATTTTGTGCATGTGAACGACCATTTTCTGTCATCTCTTTTTATTTCTATCAGATGGAATTTGTGCTTCTCCTGCTGATGGTGACGGCATGTGCTGCAATAACTCAAGGTAAAATAAAATATATATTCTTTATTTAACAGAGGTATTACATAAGGGAATTTCAAAGTGGTAGCATGTACTGTACACAGTATATTTTAAAGTAGTAGTCTGAAACAATTATATTTTTGCAAAACGGGAAGAAACGGGAAATTAATGTTTAAGTGTTTGAACCTTATTGGAGGATTTTGTTCAACTCATCGAAACTTTTTTGGAAAGACGCAATCAAGGAGTGTAGTTTGTATGTGTGTGTGTGTGTGTGTGTGTGTGTGTGTGTGTGTGTGTGTGTGTATGTGTATGTGTGTGTGTGTGTGTGTGTGTGTGTGTGTGTGTGTGTGTGTGTGTGTGTGTGTGTGTGTGTGTGTGTGTGTGTGTGTGTGTGTGTGTGTGTGTGCGTGTGTAAACATACTGTAAATTACATTAACCTTAAAAACCTTTTATAATATTCCAACTGGACATTGGGGTTGTTACCAACTTTTATTTTTTGTTTTTGTAGATCTCTCCGGTAAAATGTTTACCTTCCCTCAGGAAAGCAACACAGCTTATGTGAAACTGACACCAGAAAGAGTGGATTTCGGAGCTATAACTGTCTGTCTCAGGTAGTGTGCAAAGTGCAAAGCCAATGAACATATCTATATAGAGTATAACCGAAAATGAATATATTCGATTTTTTTTCTTTCAATTCCTGCAGGACCATTACAGACCTCAACAGGAACCACGCCCTTTTCTCTCTGTCTGCAACACCCTCTGATAATGCTTTTCTCATATACAAGCCTACTGCTGATGGGATTCAAATCTATGTCCATGGTCAAGCTGAAACATTTGGGGGAGAGGACTACAAAGTGAACACGTGGCACTCAATATGTTCTACATGGGACTCTGTGACCGGTGTGGCACAGCTGTGGCTAGACAACAAGCCCTTCATTAGGAAATATGTTGGTGGAGCAAGAATCAGAAATCCTGTTATTATCATTGGACAGGTAAGTTTAATTTATAAGTAAAATAGTTGATAGAATTCCAGAAATGTCTCTTGATTGGTTAAATTCTGATTCATTTATTCTGTGAGGTACTGATTGTAAAACAAAACATTTACTGCATGGAAATATTTTGTTCACAGCTCACTACAGAAGCACTTTCTATCAAAGCTGTTATCTTATCAGTCTGATCATTTTACAGGAGCAGGATTCCCATGGTGGAGGATTTGACAAAACACAGTCTTTTGTTGGCACGATGTCTGATGTCCACATGTGGGACTACACCCTCTCCGCCTGTGAGATCCAGGAGTACATGCTTGACAGAAACCTAACTCCGGGTAATGTGCTCAATTGGAAGGCGCTGGACTACACAACCTACGGAAGAGTGCTGACGGAACTAAAAACCATTTGCTCATGTACAGAATAAATACAAAAGAATATATAAATGTCATACTCCTTACGAGGCTTTTTCTTTTGAGTATGAAATTCAAACACCCTGTAAACCTGAACAGTGGCATTAATCAGCTTGATCAACACAATTACCTAATTTCTGACCACCATCTTAAATGTGTGTGTTTAATTTTTCTTATTAAATCTGCAAATTGTTATTTGTAATTAGATGACATTTGTGATATATCCTTTTGTCTGCCATGTTTGCTGCAACTTGTATGATGCTCTTCCTGACAGTTCATTAAAAATGGCACATTCTGCAGTCCTGTCTCCTGTCCGTCATTCTGACATAAATCATTTAATAATCTTAATTTTTCTTGCATTTATTGTATAGTTTTGACATTTTATTATTATATCATGGTCTTACCAGAATCAATGTTAATACAAAAGTTCAAGGCCCAGACCTTAAGAGAATGGCTTGTGACTACAACTATTACGTCTAGATATTGATCCTTATTTTGTGGGTTTTTCACCCAGCATTTTATAACTCCATTACATTTTTGTTCACAAGCCTTTTTCAAAAAGACATGTTTAGATGGATTTAGGAACTCCGGTTCAAAAGTGGTGTCAATCATCAAAATCGACCGATGGGTTCCAGAGATATGGCAAATCCACCCAAATGACGCCAGAAGTGGGTTTTTTTCCCTAGACCTCTCTGAAAAAGTCATAATTCACTTGTTTTGCATCAATCTTGATACAGGGTACTTATTATATGTTATTGTTTGGATTCTTCAAGCTTTTAGTCTACTATCCCATCATTCAAGGGTGGTTTTCACTATAAGTAATGGTTTCTTTTGGGACGGAAACTATAATTTACATTTTTTTAGTATAATATGCCTTATGAACACCATAAATTACTAACGAGGAAGGATGAAAGAAAAAAACATGAAATTAACAACCACCATAAGGAAGCAGACAAAGTATAAAACTCACAAGTCAGTACGGTGTTGCACAAATCACTCTGACACAGGATTCAAGGTAAGATCAAAGCATGACAAACAATGCACAATAGAGAATTTAAACATTATTGAATTATCATTATTATCATTATTATTATTGCATTAAGTTTCAGCATGTTGTTTTGTTTGTCTTTGTCTTAGATGGCGTTGTATCTTCTACTGCTGATGCTCACAGCCTGTGCTGCCACTCCTCAAGGTGAACATTTCATCTTCATTTACAAAAGAGAAAACCAAAGTAAAACATCACAAGAAAGATACATGCGAGTGAATCTTGAGTACAGGAGTTTGTTATCTTTAGACTTTTTGTTACTTACTTTTTGGGTATGTACAACATATTTAATCTCCTAATTGACTAGGATTAATCAAATTTAAGATTTATATTAATAGCAACAATTAGGCAACATATATCAATCATATGAGTAAGTTACCAGTAGGTCAATAGGAATACATCTAATGCGTTTGTCATAATAATAAAAAAACGCAAATTCAACATTACTCAAGTGATTTGATTGTTGGCTTCAACTTCACTAAACATCTTTTTATGAAACATTCAGATCCAATTTGTCAACTGAATGTCTTTTTGCTGATCCTACTTTCATATACTGATTTTAAATATCTCTCTTTTATAAAGATCTGTCAGGTCAAATGTTTACCTTCCCGCATGAAACTAACTCAGCTCATGTGAGGCTGACAACATCAAGACAGGTTCTGAGTGCTGTAACCCTCTGTTTCAGGTAGTGTTCAATATGAAATGACAACGAAAGGAACATACTGTGTCTCTGATGGGAATCATCATGTGTGATGATGTCTTTGTTTTGCCTACAGGTCCTTTTCAGATCTCCGTAGAGACATCACCCTTTTCTCTTTGTCCACACCTTCCGCTGACAATGATTTTGCAATTTTTAAGATAGCTGCAACTGATGAGTTTAGAATGTGGATCAGGAATACACACATGGACTTCATAGGGCAGGACTACAAACTGAATACTTGGCACTCACTTTGTTCCACCTGGGACTCTGGATCTGGAAAACAAAGGTTTATCGATAGTCATCAAATTATTATTATTTATTTTATATCAGGCATTATTCATATTTGTATAGTACAGTTGTAGAGTTGTTTTGTGTTTAATAATTATAATAATAATAATATACCTGTACTACCAAAGCTTAACAAAACAATGTCAGGAAAATATGAGTTTTATAAACACCACAGATTATCTAAACTAAATGTCTATGTATGTCGTTTGCATAGGTAAGACTTTATAACTCTTTGACCATTTTTAAGCTTATTGTGTGATTTTTTTTAACTATCTTTAGTTGTTCGAAAATCTTAAGAATCGGATGGAGTTATTACAACCATATAAGTGTGTTTTTGTATACCATAAAAATAATATATAGTAAGTGTACATTTTACAATTCTGGGTAATTTCTTCATAAAATGTGGTCCGTGATCATTCTCCACAATGTCACCTGTTTATGTGGGTGCAGGGTTGCTTTGCTGTTTTAAAATAAACATGAGGAATTTCAACAACACTGTTTTATACTTTTCTGTGGTACATCTACATTCTTTGACCGGGAAATGTTGGAATATGTATCTAATCTAACACACACACACACACACACACACACACACACACACACACACACACACACACACACACACACACACACACACACACACACACACGGCAGGAAATGAAATCAAGACTAAGATCAACAGCAGTTCTTTGGTAATAGGAGGATAACACAAAGCGAGAGGGTGTAAGAGATTGCAGATTGTGTGCAGATAATGCTGTTAGATGCTAGATAACAGGAGGCCTCTGACTAAATGTTCTGCTTTGGTCAAAAAAAGGCACTGCATATTTCTCTTGCAGCACCAGACTCTGTCATGGAGACAGCTGCTCCATCCTCCTAGTTTGCGTCCTCTGCATATCACCTGATTCATTTCTGTGTTACCTATTAACTTTTCCTCTTATTCCACTCCTGCTATGCTGCACCTGCCCACAAGTTGTCCCTACTGAGTTTGAAGTCACCAAGCACCCAGCTGTTCATTGTGTGCTACCTAGTGCACTCCTCCGTTTTGCTTATTTGTCTTGCTTAGTGTGCATGGGTGTTTTCTGTAATCTGTTGTGAACTGCTTTATTTCCCTGAATTATTTTGTCTTGATATATATATTTAAATGATCACATGTGTTACATAAACCTCCAGTTACTTTTACGTAGTAACTAAAGAGCTCCAACTGGAGGTAATTCAATGTTATATGGTTGATAAAAGAGCATTAACTTCAAAACACCGTTCAGGGTCAGGGTCCGGATTGAATGATGATCAATAATGTTTTAAATGAGGGTGAAAGGATTTATAGTAATCAAAAGTCTTCCGTGCTTCCCTTACCAGTATCACAGAAGTGATCATTTAAAACATTGTTGATCATCAGTTAACCCATGACCTCTGACCCTAACCTGCCTGCAGATGGAGTTTGTAAGGGTTACATCTGCATGTCTCCTTCCCTTAATAACATGCATCAACGGATGATCTAAACAAGCATAACCGGTAATATGGACTGTGTTTTCACAAGGAAATAAAACAGATCGAAGTTTCGAACGCAATTAGACACCGAGAAGGAATGGAGGAGGCAGCGGGGGTTTAAAACTCTCCTATTCACTGTTGTGCAAATCATCATGACACAGACATATTGAAAAGGTAAGATCACAACATGATATCCAATGCAAATATAGAGCCAATTACGCTGCTTTGTGTCACTGCATTGCATGCTGTTGAAGTGTTAATAGCATTTTATTGTAAACTAGGGGTTCCCTGTAAAATCTTAGGCCCTTGGTAGCAGCTCAACAAGCCTTGCCACTTTTCTTTTAATCTTAAGCATGTTTCAGAGGCCCAATCCAGCTCTCATTCCCTGAGGTGCCACAAAGGCTCGATTTCATACATTTCATCTGTCTTCTTCAGCCTAAAGTCACTTCATGTACATTATAAGCAGGTGTGCACATAACTTTTTGAGTGAGTTACTCAGATGAGTACCAGGAGACAGCGTTTGGTACTCACCCCACATGAAGCGTGGTGTTAATAAGTGCAGTCTTCCTCACTGTCCTCCTCAGTGTCTCCTTCACTGTCCTCTATTTACACTTCTTGCATGCTAGATGATGAAGATGATGAAGATGCACCTCCCTGTCTCTTTGTAAGCCTCCGATTTGCTTTCTCCAAAACTTGTTGCCAAAACTGTGAAGTCCTTGCATTTCCTGAGGCCAAGTTGAAGGATCAAATACTAAGAAATTATCACATGACTTGAAGTCATATCTGATTTCAGAGGTGGGAAGTAACAAAGTACACTTATTCAAGTACTGTACTTAGGTACAATTTAAGATACTTGTAGTTTACTTGAGTATTTCTATTTTATGCTACTTTGTACTTCTACTCCACTACAGTTCAGAGGTAAATCATGTACTTTTCTTCCACTACATTTATTTAATACCTTTAGTTACTTTACAGATGTGGATGAATGATGTGAAAATATAATCAAGTGTTAAATCAGACTTTAGTTCCACCTGGAGTAAATCCACAAGCTACCCTGCAGTATACAAAGTCATTCAAACTAATTTTTAAACACTTTAATGATCAATAATTATAAAACATATCATATACATTATTATGAAATGGACCAATCTGCAAAATGACTACTTTTACTGTCGCTACTTTAACTAGATTTTGATGATAATACTTTTCTAATTTTACTTGAGTAACACTTCTTCCACCTCTGTCTGATTTCAAACTCTTCCATTAACAGCCTGAGTAAGTTTGCAGCTGTGTGTTTTACTCCACTTTGTTGTAAATAAAACTGCAGCAGCTTGACCACAGAGCGTGAACGTTGTGATCAGCTGATTTTGCGCAGTTCTCCAGTGTGTGCGCGGGGCACAGAATGTGCACAGGGGAGTCTCCCACCGCAGCCAGTTGACGTAGTTTTGGTACAATTCTGTTGTACACACCGACGTTAACAGCAGCTCCGTCTGTGCACACGGCGACCAACTCTGTCGTCCAGTGATCTAAGCCTCTGCCTCCTGTGAAGCTTCACAGGTCCGTCGGTTATGTCCTGCGCGGCACGGCCAGCACCCAGTTCAATCAGTCATAGAAAGTCTGAAGATTTTAGCAGGTCTCCCTTGTAAAAGAGATCGTTGATCTCAATGGGATTTTTAACCTGGATAAATAAAGGCTACAAACAAACAAACAAACAAACAAGGGAGCGAAACGGCAAAGTGGCTGCTTAATGTCTTTGTTTTTTTTGGACATGTCTAATAATTTACTCCACTGAGTATTGACAAGAAACATGTGTAGGCGAAATATGTGTTTTGTTTTGATGACCTATCAGGTACGCAAAGGCGCGTTGTGACACAAGTGACGTTACGCATTTCAGATTGTTGCCGCGCATGCGTACCTGCGTACCAGTTATGTGCACCCCTGATTATAAGCCTATGAAAACACTAGTTAGCACACACAAACACAAACACAGACACACACACACACACACACACACACACACACACACACACACACACACACACACACACACACACACACACACACACACACACACACACACATACACACACACACACACACTAGTATGAAGAGTGTCCAAAATTCTAAAGTATTCGTGAATGGGAACCTTTATTGATTGTTCATTGTGTTATTATGAGGGGTGTGTACAAGGAAGCAGAATTTTTCAAATAGATCCAATATCGAAAGGAATGAGGTTGCAATGAGGGTATAAAACTCACTCAGATTCAGAACGTCCTGACATAAGCTTAAAGGTAAGATCATAACATGATATCTAATGCAATATGCAGCACATTTGTATTTTACAGAAGAGTATGCAAGTTAATAGCAGCACAATAGAATTTGATTTTGTGCATGTGAACGACCATTTTCTGTCATCTCTTTTTATTTCTCTCAGATGGAATTTGTGCTTCTCCTGCTGATGGTGACGGCATGTGCTGCAATAACTCAAGGTCAAATAAAATATATATTCTTTATTTAACAGAGGTATTACATAAGGGAATTTGAAAGTGGTATCACGTACTGTACACAGTATATTTTAAAGTAGTAGTCTGAAACAATTATATTTTTGCAAAACGGGAAGAAACGGGAAATTAATGTTTAAGTGTTTGAACCTTATTGGAGGATTTTGTTCAACTCATTGAAACTTTTTTGGCAAGATGCAATCAAGGAGTGTAGTTTGTATGTGTGTGTGTGTGTGTGTGTGTGTGTGTGTGTGTGTGTGTGTGTGTGTGTGTGTGTGTGTGTGTGTGTGTGTGTGTGTGTGTGTGTGTGTGTGTGTGTGCGTGTGTAAACATACTGTAAATTACATTAACCTTAAAAACCTTTTATAATATTCCAACTGGACATTGGGGTTGTTATCACACAAAACCTTTTTTTCAAGCAGTAGGCCATTTATTAGGTCACTACAGCATGTGCGCAATAATGTATTTCTGTATTGTAAAACTTTCACAAACATTTAACCTTTATTTTTTGTTTTTGTAGATCTCTGCGGTAAAATGTTTACCTTCCCTCAGGAAAGCAACACAGCTTATGTGAAACTGACACCAGAAAGAGTGGATTTCGGAGCTATAACTGTCTGTCTCAGGTAGTGTGCAAAGTGTAAAGCCAATAAACATATCTATATAGAGTATAACTGAAAATTAATGTATTCAATTTTTGTCTTTCAATTCCTGCAGGACCATTACAGACCTCAACAGGAACCACGGCCTTTTCTCTCTGTCTGCACCCTCTGATTCGAATGCTTTTCTCATATTCAAGCCTACTGCTGATGGGATTCAAATCTATGTCCTTGGTCAAAAAGAAACATTTGGGGGAGAGGACTACAAAGTGAACACGTGGCACTCAATATGTTCTACATGGGACTCTGTGACCGGTGTGGCACAGCTGTGGCTAGACAACAAGCCCTTCATTAGGAAATATGTTGGTGGAGCAAGAATCAGAAATCCTTCTATTGTCCTTGGACAGGTAAGTTTAATTTATAAGTAAAATAGTTGATAGAATTCCAGAAATGTCTCTTGATTGGTTAAATTCTGATTCATTTATTCTGTGAGGTACTGATTGTAAAACAAAACATTTACTGCATGGAAAGGTTTTTTTCACAGCTCACTACAGAAGCACTTTCTATCAAAGCTGTTATCTTATCAGTCTGATCATTTTACAGGAGCAGGATTCCCATGGTGGAGGATTTGACAAAACACAGTCTTTCGTTGGCATGATCTCTGATGTCCACATGTGGGACTACACCCTCTCCGCCTGTGAGATCCAGGAGTATGTGGATGAACTAAACTTCACTCCGGGTAATGTGCTCAATTGGAAGGCGCTAGACTACACAACCTACGGAAGAGTGCTGACAGAACTAAAAACTATTTGCTCATGTACAGAATAAATACAAACAAATATATAAATGTCATACTCCTTACGAGGCTTTTTCTTTTGAGTATGAAATTCAAACACCCTGTAAACCTGAACAGTGGCATTAATCAGCTTGATCAACACAATTACCTAATTTCTGACCACCATCTTAAATGTGTGTGTTTAATTTTTCTTATTAAATCTGCAAATTGTTATTTGTAACTAGATGACATTTGTGATATATCCTTTTG